ATACTGCAGGTGATAAGAAAGAAACTCCCTGTATGAGAATTTTTGAACATACTTTATGCTACCACACATTAGATCTGAATCACTATGAACAGCACCACTACCTTGGTTGTTAGATCTTACCTCCAAGCTATGCCTAAATCTTGCCCATTCTTTCTGACTAATGTCTCTAAGGGTACGTCTATATTATGGGATAAGATTAAATTAAGATACACAATTTCAGCTATGTTAATTGTGTAGCTGAAGTTGAAGAACTTTAACTCGACTTTTGGTGCTGTCTACACTGCAAAAGTCGAAGGGCGACTTCCTTTACTCCTTGTGTAAGCAGGACTACCGGCATTGACCAGAGTGCCCCTCTCAGTTTGAATTACTGTGTCTTCACTAGACCTGCTAATTTGAACCCTAGAAGATCCACAGCGGCAGCTTTGATCTTCTCTGTAGTGTAGACATACCCTAAGATACAGCCTTATCTTATCCATTTTTACTCCCAAGAGTCTAGCAATACTCCAAAGCTTCATGCTGTTTTGACAATCAAGGGCAGATGTTTTTGATACCATAATTGGCCGTGGCAAATGTTATAGGTTGCAAATTTTCCAATGTATTGTTTTCTGTCTGAAAAATGCCAATTCATTAAAACCCAAACTGTTCGCAAAACAAGAACAATTTTGCTAAATCTCGTCATTTGAAGATTTTTTGGGGGTACAAAACACTTTTTGAAATTGTCAAAATGTTCTATTTTGGCATTTTCAAAACAAAAAATATTTTTTGTCAATGAGTTTTTGTTTTGACATTTTAATACTTCTAGAATCATAGAATACTAGGATTGGAAGGGACCTCAAGAGGTCATCGAGTCCAGTCCCCTGCCCTCATGGCAGGACCCAATACTTTCTAGTTCATCCCTGATAGACATTTATCTAACCTGCTCTTAAATATCTCCAGAGACTGAGATTCCACAACCTCCCTAGGTAACTTATTCCAGTGTTTAACCATCCTAACAGTTAGGAAGTTTTTCCTAATGTCCAACCTAAACCTCTCTTGCTGCAGTTTGAGCCCATTGCTTCTTGTTTTATCCTCAGAGGCAAAGGAGAACAATTTTTCTCCCTCCTCCTTGAGACACCCTTTTAGATACCTGAAAACTGCTATCATGTCCCCTCTCTTATGCCTTGTGAAACGAGGTTTACAGGAGCGGTTGACAAAGGCTTCCCTTGTCGACCGATCTGCGTCTAGACTCCCACTCTGTGCCGAATCAGTTGATTGTTGGCTCAGCGCGGCGACCATTTTTATTTTAATGAAGCGGGGATTATTTAAATCCCCGCTTCATTGACTATGTCAGGTAAGCTAGTTTACATGGCTCTGTCGACAGAGCCATGTAGTCTAGACGTACCCGTATTTAGCTTGTAACCCCTAGATCCCTTTCTGCCATACTCCTTTCTAGATAGTCATTTCCCATTCTCTGTGTGTGAAACTGATTGTTTCTTCCTAAGTGGAGTACTTTGCATTTGTCCTTATTAAACTTCATCCTGTTTACCTCAGACCATTTCTCCAATTTGTCCAGATCATTTTGAATTATGACCTATCCTCAAAAGCAGTTGCAACCCCTCCCAGCTTTGTATCATCTGCAAACTTAATAAGCGTACGCTCTAAGCCAATATCTAAATTGTTGATGAAGATATTGAACAGAACCAGTCCCAAAACTGACCCCTGCAGAATCCCACTTGTTATGCCCTTCCAGCATGATTGCGAACTGTTAATAACTACCCTCTGAGAATGGTTATCCAGCCAGTTATTCACCCACCTTATAGTAGCCCCATCTAAGTTGTATTTGCCTAGTTTATTGATAAGAATATCATGTGACACCGTATCAAATGCCTTACTAAAGTCTAGGTATACCATGTCCACTGCTTCTCCCTTATCCACAAGACTTGTTAACCTATCAAAGAAAGCTATCAGACTGGTTTGACATGATTTGTTTTTTACAAATCCATGCTGGCTGTTCCTTATCACCTTATTATCTTCCAGGTGTTTGCGGATGATTAATTACTTGACCTGCTCCATTATCTTCCCTGGCACAGAAGTTAATCTGACTGATCTGTAGTTTCCTGGGTTGTTTTTATTTCCCTTTTTATAGATGGGCACTAGATTTGCCCTTTTCCAGCCTTCTGGGATCTCTCCCGTCTTCCGTGAGCTGTCAAAGATGATAGCTAAAGGTTCAGATACCTCCTCTGTCTGCTTCTTGGATGCATTTCATTAGGCCCTGGTGACTTGACTTGCAGGCATCTAACTTTTCTAAGTGATTATTAACTTGTTCTTTTTTTATTTTATCCTCTAAACGTACCCACTTCCCACTAACATTCACTATGTTAGGCATTCCTTCAGACTTCTCGGTGAAGACCAAAACAAAGAAGTCATTAAGCATCTTTGCCATTTCCAAGTTACTGTTTCTTCCTCCTCACTAAGCAGTGGGCCTACCCTGTCCTTGGTCTTCCTCTTGCTTCTAATATATTTATAGAATGTCATCTTGTTTCCCTTTATGACTGTAGCTAGTTTGAGCTCATTTTGTGCCTTTGCCTTTCTAATCCTGCCCCTGCATTCCTGTGTTGTTTGCCTATATTCATCCTTTGTAATTTGTCCTAGTTTCCATTTTTTATATGATTCCTTTTTTATTTTTAGATCATGCAAAATCTCCTGGGTAAGCCAACGTGGTCTTTTGCCATATTTTCTATCTTTCCTATGCAGCGGAATAACTTGCTTTTGTGCCCTTAATAATGTCCCTTTGAAAAACTGTCAATTCTCTTCAGTGTTTTTTCCCTCAGTCTTGTTTCCCAATGGACCGTACCTCCCAGATATCTGAGTTTACCAAAATCTGCCTTCCTGAAATCCATTGTCTCTATTTTGCTGTCCTCCCTTCTACCATTCTTTAGAATCATGAAATCTATGATTTCATAATCACTTTCACCCAAGCTGCCTTCCACTTTCAAATTCTGAACCAGTTCCTCCCTATTTATTAAAATCAAATCTAGAACAGCTTCCCCCCAATAGCTTTTTCAACCTTCTGAAATAAAAACTTGTTTTCAATGCAGTCCAAGAACTTATTGGATAGTCTTGTAGACAATTTTTTAAAAGAGAAAAAGGTTGCCATCAAAATGAAGCATTTTGAACTGATAAGAATTGATTTTATGCAAAAATTTTGAGATTACCAAATTTCATCCCAATTTTGGATGGGTAAAATTTTTGAAATCTCAAAAATTATCTCAGGATGGAAAAAACATTTGCCACCACACACAGATTTCAACTTGCAATGAATAATTGTTCTCATGTGATGGATTCCTTTGAGTGTTCCCAGTTGTCTAAGTCAAATAGCCAGTATCATACCTCAAGAAAAAAGAAGGTAGGATACTGTTTGAAATGTAGCGGGGGTGGGGGGGAAGGGAGCATATCAACTGGGAAAGGATTGGTGGGAAGCTATGAATGTACAGAATCCCCAATTTTTGCTTTCTTTTTCACTATAAGGGGACTGAAGTGATAAGGTAACAAACACTTCATATCCATAAGTGTTGTGCTAGGGGTGTTGAAATCTCTTAATTATACACCAATAGCCTGCTAATTGCTACAAATAAAGGCCATTCTGACTGAAGGTTTCTATAAGGAAACACAAGCCAGGTACAGGCAGTCCCCGGGTTACGTACAAGATAGGGACTGTAGGTTTGTTCTTAAGTTGAATTTGTATGTAAGTCGGAACTGGTACATATTGTAGGGGAAACTCTAGCCAAACATTTCTCCAGAGCTCAGTTTTATTCTCCCACACCTCCCTTCCCTCAGTCCTTTATTCTCAAGCTGAGGTGTCTGCTAAGAAAAGCCGCTCCGCGTCTCCCTGGTCTGCTGTAGGGGGGCGCTAGTTTCGCGTCTCCCTGGTCTGCTGGGGGGAAGCAGCTAGTGCAGGGTTGCCTCACCCCGTTTGTAAGTAGGGATCCGATGTAAGTCGGATCCATGTAACCCGGGGACTGCCTGTACTTAAAATTGTGATCTCAAACTTTGCCCATTCATTGGTTCCTGTATATCCTTTGTCTGAGTGTGCAAAGTAGGTAACTATTTACTTAAGAAAGTGTTCAGTACACAATTAATTGATTTGTAGGGGGAAATCCAGTATTTGTGAATATAGTAAAGGTACTATAAACTGAAAATAATATGTGTGTGTTTCTGCATGTGTGCAAAATCCTGAGTTGTAACTTTCTGATGCCTAACTGTAAGGTAACCTCAGTGTTACTTTTTAGAGTACTTTCCAAATGAAATAGGGTTAGAATGGCTCAGATTCAATAATTAAGTGATGCAAAACAATAACCCTTTCTTTTTTAACTTAGAAGCTGATTGTTAACTGGCACTAGAATATGGAATACTAGCGTCCTGTTGATGACAGGCCAAAGTCATTTTGTGTAGATTACACTTATAGGAAAGTTCAAGAAATGAAACATATGTAGTAGAATTTTTATTAATGTTCCTGAAAAAGAGAAGTAAAATAATAGTTTTAAGTTTGTAGGATTTCAACTTCAAACATTTTTCATTTTATTGAATAATTACGTACATAGTACATTTGAATCAGAAACTCAAAAAGCTTCCATTACCCTTTCCATAACTAATTTGAATTATTTTGTGATTTATAATAGTAAAAATTTTATTTGAACTAAAATGACAGTTGAATAAGAGACTCGATTTTAACCATGTTAAATATTTTTATGAATTCTAATCATAAAAGTTATGACTTTTTTCCAATTAAAAACAAAAATAATTATTTAAAGCTTTCACCTAGCATATTCTGTTGTATAAAATTAGTGCATTCGGATGATTTAAATGGTAGGCTTGTTTATGCCAAATTTGGTATCTGTAGGTAATCTTGAAGTATGACTTTAGTTTCCACAAACAAATCCACAAATAAACAAACAAACTCTTCAAAATATATAATAGATACTGTATTAAATGAGGAACCATGCATTATTTGGCTTGCTTACCGACTGCCTTTAGCGAGGCGTACTTGTTAAGCTCCTTGCCCGGGGGCTGTTGTTCATAAGGATTTGTGATCTGTCCCATGCTGGGGTATGAATGCGGTTGTGCCATCTGAGGGAGGAGAGGAGAAGTTGGTACCACGTTATTCATCTGGGGACCATCTGTATTAAATAAAAAAAACCAGTCTTTAATTTTGATCATCATTTTGCTTACTAACTAGACAGAGTGAATGCATCACATTGTTTAATAGAAAATCTAGTGTTTACCAGAAAACAAATAAATGTTAGAATAGAGCCATTCTAATCTGCCCCAGCAAATCTATTCACAGGCCATGGTATGGTTAAAGCAGCATATATGAACGGAAAAAAGATTTAGATTAGTAAATAGTATTTTAAATCAACTGGTTATTAATACGCTAGGGGTGAGTTCATTGAAACACTAACTGCATGGTTTTGTAGTATATATATTATATTAATTACACAAGCATCTTGCGTGTGTGATATATATATACACACACACACACACACACAGAGAGAGAGAGAGAGAGAGAGAGAGAGAGAATACAAAATTAGGTGCTAATGTGTTTATATATCAACACACTAGGATATAGTTCCATATTCCAACCTGGACTCTAAAGTCCAGGTGTATTTGAATCTGGGATTTGGATCATGTCCATCATTAACACTTGGTGACAATGACCAAGAATGCAGTCACTCTAAATATGCTGATATCTTTAAAGGACAGAGTCCATTTGTATGTTTCTTTCTCCCCTCCTGTCTCCTCTATGCCTCTCCCCTTTCCTCTCCCTCCCGCCCCCATGACAATAGGTCTCATGTCTGTAGAAGATAACATTTACCGTAGCAGCTACCTCAGGGCTAGAAACAGAAGCTGGTGAGTACTTGTAGACTGTCGTATCAGTACAAATTTTATATCTGTTCTCAGGCTGTTTTTTTCTGTTAGATAAGTGACTACAGTGTGACAACTCCCACTCCCCATAAGATATACTTGCTTGTACTATGAGCTTTTCCACCATTATTTTAGCATCTAACTTGGTGAATCAGACTTGTATGCTGTTCCCAGTAAGATAGATTTCTACATGGTCAGCATACCCTTTTGGTGAGTCTGATACCAAACTGCGTGCTTTTCAGTATTTCGAACTGTGTGTTAGTAAAACAACAATACTGTTATCAAGTATATAGAGTTTCAGAATTCTTATGCACAGAAGAGTCCATTTTTGTTAGTTATTCCTGCAATGAAACCAGCCATAATGCCAAATTTGTGACAAAACAACCCTCATAGGGTATGTCTACACTAGACCCCTAGTTCGAACTAGGGAGGCTAATGTAGGCATTCTAAGTTACAAATGAAGCCTGGGATTTAAATATCCCAGGCTTTATTTGAATCTTCCCGTCCGGGCACCATTTTAAAATCCCCTTAGTCCGAACTAACTTCCCGCGGCTACACGCGGCAGTCAAACGTTAACTTGAACTAAGTCCTTAGTTTGAGTTAACTGTTATACCTCGTGAAATGTAAAGGTAAAGTCTAGCATAGGTAAAGTATAGGAGGTCACAGTCCTTTGTCTAGCTTTCACCTCTCTGTCAGATTTATTCAGCCACATCTTTAACAGTAAGAAGGGGAATATAGAGAAACACAGACAAATAAAATGGATTTAAGTATAAAAAATGTTCTTTCTTCCAAAGTGCACTCAAGTGTTGAAGTCCTACTTTGATCCCAAGCTATTATCAGAGTTAATGTTGCTGCTTTTCAACTCTTCAACAATTTATGAGGATTTAATAATTAAATAAATTAGCTATGTTTTGTATGTCTCCGGAATCTTATTCACCACTTTGATGGCTTTTGTTTAAGGCAATGGAGTATTCGAAATGTTGATTTTCAAGCTGATTAACGACAAAAACCTCTTTCATTGCTGTTCACTGACTTCTACAGTAGCCCTTGTTCATACTGAAGTACTAATGCAAGGCTAGATGATTGGATGGAAAACATTATTAATGTTTCACATTCAACTGGCCATTAACACAAAGGCTAAATAAGCAAAAGGCCAAATGGAGGCACAGTACATTGTATAAGTGAGGAAAAGATGCATGTTTATACAAACGTCCCTATTAAACTGGATTTCCTAGATTTAAAGGGAAATCTGAGTTGTCTGCATTTGCACCCTTTATTCTGAATTCTGCCCCTTTCACCATCAGTGAAAACTATGCATTTCCATTTTCAAGATTTTGAGTCTCTCAGCTGTTTGAGTTCTAATTCAATTATAATCTTTCTTGTGTTTTCTTTGAATGAACTTGATAACCAAATGCCACTCTGGAACCATTTTATCTTTTTCCTACCAAAGACAGGTAATTTTACAGGGATGGTTGAATACACCAGTATTTGGATGATATTCAGAAAAATCTTATTATGGAGTTAGGAAGGGGATTTGACTGTCTAATTATAGTTTCTGGGGGAGCCCAGGTTTAACCACAACTAGGTAATGTTCTTCATCAGGACTTGCTCCGCCTACACTCAGTACAAAGTCCTGTTTAAAACTGTGTTAGGTAAAATGTGTGAGCTACATGTTCTAAAATGAAACCTATTTGCATGAGGGTTCAGTGACAGGCACACTCCCATTTCTAATGCCCTGATGGGAACTGAACAGGAAACATTTTTTTTCTGTCCTGTCAGACTTGAAATGGGATAAAAAGTCATAAACTAAAAATAAATAAATTGTGCATTGATAATCCATAAAAATGTTCGCATTGCATCAACCAAAATGTTTTCATTTTGATTTGATATTTTTAAAAATGTTAACTTTTTTAGTGAAAATAAACCAAAATTTCAAAACAAGAAATCACTTAGGATTGAAAATTAAAACTTTTCATTTAAAAAATGTCAAAGCAAGATGGTTTGATGATGTTGTTGAAAAATTCCCAACCAAATCTACCCAGAACCTTTATGTCGAATCCATCCACCAGCCATATCTTTTCTGATTGATATTTAGAAATACAGTAGCTAGCTTACCAAACAGGGACAATTTCAAGCTCAAGGCTCTAACTATGTTGCTCAGCACAATACACCACATAACCAGCTGGCACTTTTCAACTGCCAGTTCACCAACCTAGACATCTGTTGGGGACTGCAAATGAGGCAGACAAGAAGCAGCTGATAAAAAGTTCCTCAGGGTATGTCTACACTACCCTCCTAGTTCGAACTAGGAGGGTAATGTAGGCATACCGCACTTGCAAATGAAGCCTGGGATTTAAATTTCCCGGGCTTCATTTGCATAAGCGGGGAGCCGCCATTTTTAAAACCCCGCTGGTTCAAACCCCGTGCAGCGCGGCTACACGGGGCTCGAACTAGGTAGTTCGAACTAGGCTTCCTAGTTCGAACTACCGTTACTCCTCGTGAAATGAGAGCAAAGAGCCTTAGAAGCGAATGTATCAGCATCTCTGGTGAAGAGGCTTTATTTTATGGCTAAGGTCTGGGCTGTCAAACCAGCAAGCCATGGGGTCACGAGACTCCACCCCACCAGGGATGGGTTGAACTGCTAAGGTAATATTAAACGCAGTACTGAGGAACTGCCTTGAGGCTGACTGAGAGCTCCATGTTTATAAAAATGACAACGACTTTCTACTGAATAATAATAGAGAATACTGCTGTGTATCGCAGACATCATACAGCCTGCAGCTAATGGAGATTTTGTAAATGGAAATGCTTTAAGAACTGATGCATCTGTTTTCTAATCCTTGCTTTTTCTGGTAATTTTCAAAGGTCATAAGGATAACAGTGAAAATACCTATTTGGCTGCAGTCTATTACAATATACGCTGCATTACATTTAATTATGGTAGTGTCATATCTAATTTATGCCTTTTGTTGAGAGGCCACAATGACGGGCATATCAAGCAATCATTAAACATAAAATCAATACTCAATACATCAGGGGCTGACAGATTCTCCCCCACATCAACACCTATTTGGGAAATGTATTGTGCATTATGTTGCTTATTTATTGGTGTTAAACTGTCCTGAGTTTAGAATTTGGGAGAGGGAGATATATGCCAGTAACATAATATAACAGTAATAAGTGTGTTTAAAACGTGGTTTGCCTTGAATCTTCCTAAACCTCAGGAATGGGTCATTATTAAAATCTTCATTGTCTTCAGCCCTTGGAGAGTTAAAGCTATTCTACAGAGTGGCCTGAGGAGTCATTTCCTTCTGTAGCAGAGAAATCAATTATCTCAAGCTTGGAGACAAGAAAAATGGAAAAAAAGCATACATTTAATGAACAAAATAGAATTTATTAGTAAACAAGCATCTGCGGACATGGGAAGAAGAGCAAATGAGACAGGCAACAGGAATACAAAAACAAAATGTGAGGGAGGGCAGAAAAGCAGAACAAGATTTTGCTATGAAAACCACCTGCAGACACATACAAAAAGGAAATAAGGCAGGACATACAAAAGGATAGCAGGAAGTTGGCAAAGAGAGAAACAAGAGCAAATTCAGAGCAAAATATAAAACTAGTTGGGCATTTTCAGATACTCAACAGAGAAAGATAAGCCCTAAAGCAGCTAAAGTAGAGAACAACAGCTATAAAAGCAGAAGAACAAGGTCGAACGAATGTTTGCAGATAACTCCCTCCTTATTCTGTCTCTCACAAGTGCATGCAAACATACATTTGTTTCTTTTCTCTACTATAGGGTTTCCTTGCTTTATTTGCAGGGCCAATTCAGCCAGGGATGCCAAGTCTGCAAGCCACGGGGAGACTTCTCCCCACCAGAGATGGGTTGAACTGGTAGTGTGATATTAGATGCAGTATTGAGAAACTGCTTTGAGGCTGACTGTGAGCTCCCTGTGGTTCAGTCTTTCTCAACATTTGCTCAGTTATGTCAATTTTCAGGACTGTACTTGATTTGGGAATTCTGTCTCTTTTCTCATATACTCAGCTACTCATTTATGTTCCTAACTCAAACTGGACCATTTCCACAAAATATTTAGCCCGGAGTGTTTCTTTGTGTGTTTTTAAAATTTTGTTTGCGCACGCGCACACACACACACGCACATACATGGGCTGCGATCCCTGCTCGCTGTGCTTGCTCTTACCAACCCCCCTCTCTGTGGCCATGCCAGCCTGGGTCCCTTCTCCTTCCCCTTCCCTG